CTTTTCAGAAATTATTTCAAAGGCAGCAGCAGTAAATCGATTTTGACAAAATAAGCCATTAAATGTGATTGAGAACAGGTTTAGTTTATGGAGTCCCATCATTTTCCAACATCTTGGGCAAGTCTCATGATTCTCACAGGTAACTGGGTGTAAAGCTCTGCTCTTGAACACCTTAGTCTCCTCAGTGTTTCCTGTGATGCCAGCCCTACTTTAGTCCCACGCATGTTCAACAAATTTCTGTCATCAACATTAATCCTCTGCATACCAAATCTGCATTTTTTTTTCAGAAGTGGAAGTGCTGATGTCCATTATTTTGTGAATACTGAGTTTTACCTAAAAGGTCATGTTTTCATTAGAAAATATTTCACTGAATAAATAGTGATTACTTGAATTTGTTCCTTTTCCTGTCAAGCTAGGTCATACCCTAGAACGATAAAAATAATTTACAGATTACAGCTCTGTAAATCTGGTGTTTTGTTAACAGATTTCCATTTTATGCAAGTTATTTTGTTTAAAAGATTGTAAACAGAGATGGTGGTTTTAGAGCAAAGATAACCTTCATTTCAGTATGGCTGTAGTTGAAGAGGAACCTACCAAGGTTGCTATCAGACACCAGAGCCCTCCCCAGTTCTAAGCAGATAAGGGCAAACTTCATAGATATCACAGGCCAGGTACATTCTCTTCAAAACACCAAAGTAGTTTTAAAGTATGTCTCAGACAGCAACACCCAGACAAGCTACATTAGAACTAATTTTAGTAATCTGAGGTAATTAAGTAGAAGTCTCTACTGAAATGTTCACCAAGAACATAGATGTGACTACAGTAGAGTATTTTTACTGAAGCCTCAGAAAAAGACACCAAAAGATAGGAGTCACTAGACTACCTATGCCTGCCTAGATAGGCAGCTTCTGACTCCAGCCTGATGGGGAAAAGGTTTCCTAGGTTGTAAGAGGTACTGGAAGCGGTCAGAAATAGTTTAGATTGGTGGTTCAGGTCAGGAAGCCCAGCCACTACTGCAGGAAGTGCTTTGACATCTGAGCAGAATCGGTCTGGAATCCTAAATGTGTGGCACAAACCACAAGGCAAATTAAAACTTTGGAATTAAAAGTGTTATTCAGACCTCTGGCACAAACAGTTAGAACACAAAAATAGAAGCTAGGCAAGCTTATTCTGGTACCAGCTCAGAGCATGGGCAGTAAATAGCAGGTATTGTAGTTTTTCAGTTCAGGAAAGTCCCATTCTGACCAGAAGGCTCAAAACTAGCAGCTCCTGTGAGATCAAAGGACAACTCTGCTGGAAGCCTTACCACCCAGAGCTTTAGAAAATCTCTTTCACACTGCACACTGTTGGGGAATAAATAAAATTGGCAAGAATGTATAAACCAGAAAGTTTCCTGAACACAGAATAGTCCATTTTTGCTCCATGCAAGGGATTATGCTTTCACAGTTGGCAAAAGCAAACAGTAAACATCGCACCGGAGTTTTGTTTTGACTGAATTGAGACTTCTCCCATTTTAATATTTTGCTACCAGCACTCATGGTTTAGTATTTTTATTACATAAAGTGTCAGTTGCTCATATCAGTGTTCCTAGTCGCCCAATACAAAATACAAGCTTTCAAACACATGACTTCCAGGAATGCTTCTGGCTTGTAGCATTTGACAGAGAATGTGACCGTTCAAGCACCATGGATTCCCGCAGATGAACAGAATTGCATAATTTATACAAAAGCAGAGTGCATTAATGAGCACAAAAGCAGAAAGCACTGTATTTACTGTGATGCGTCACCTGAAAAACAAAACAAAATCAAATCAGAGAAAAGCGTGATATTTAAATAAAGCTTCAGAGCTTTCAGTGCACTTTTATTAGATTTATCATGACTTCATGTTGCGCTGGATGGAAAAACCTTCATCGACTACTGCTGGAAAAAGATCAGCTCAGTCAAGGAAAGCAAGCATGCACGCGAGTCCTCTGTCTGAGACAAGAACAGACAAACTGACGTCATTGTTAGAAGACAAATAATGTTGACTGCATAGCAACCTGGCAGCTGTCTCAGGAGGCCGCTGGGATGTCTGGCCTAGCACACTAATGAGACTAGCAAATTTTGGTGAAACTCAAAACCAAGGTGCGGGTTGTTGTGCGGGTTTGGTGTTGTTTTCTTTTTCAGAAATCTGGTTCCATATATTGCAGTTATGAAGCGTGAAAAGTAATACTTGGAAAGCGCAAGTGAAGAGAGAAAAAACGATTGAGTTTTTTAAGTAAACAGTAACATGTTCTCTAGCAAATAGCTGGCCTATTGATCTCAGGCTTTTATGTCAAACAAGAACGCAGACAAATATGTAAAACATTAACTAATAGCAAGAGGGTGAAACAGTTTATAGCCAAACAGGTTAAAATATTTTCATAATCATTTAAAATGTACATCTACACTTTTTTTTTTTACTTTCTCTTAAAATATTGTTATATATTTATACATCAAGAGTTCTTTTTTCTACATAAATTTTTTTTTTTTTGAAATGTAATTTTAAATTGTTAATAAAAACCTTGAAACTTCTGAAATAGTCATGATAGCCTTAAAAAATACTTCTCTGGGTAACTTCCATCCATTAACTCTACTGACTTCATATCCAACATTCAACTATATGTGAAGTATGCTCTCCAGATTCTCACAGTAAGACGGACACTCAACAGCACCAGAGAGGAGATGGAGAATTTTTTATTCTTGTTGTTAAAAAGAAAAGGTTAAATACTAATACCACTGAAGAAATATGCCCACCAAAGTTATATACTGCCTGGTCCATTTTGTTCTAAATTATTATTTCTGAAATAATTCATACTTTAAAAGCAAATACTTGTAGTATTCAACATAAAAGGTATTTATGCCACCTGCTTATAAGCATATGATGCATACTTAAGTTCTTTATGGTATTTTTAGGGACAAATAACTGAATTGTAATGCATAACCTCACAAATCAGAACACTTGAACTTATAATTTTGTCCTCCATTTTACAGTGACTAGCTTTAGAGTTTTATTTTTTAAAAGGGACTATGTAGCATTTTAATGCTGAAGAAACTAACTGAATGTTATTTGTTCAATCAAACCAGTCACAAGCAAAGAATCATGACTGAAGCAATAGATCTTAAATGTTTGGGAGAGTATCTAAAAAATTGCATAGATTAATATACTACCTGCTATTATTTTGCAATGACAAAGTCTGTATAAATAATGTGCCTTCATTGTGCAATTACTTGTGCAATATTGCAACAGCTAAGGTAATCTTGTGCTATTTGCTCAGTAGAAAATTCCCATTTGAGGATTCACGAGTTTCTTCATAACTGTCAAGCAATGGGAGTCAGGAATTTCTACAGATCTTCTGTGTTCCAGAACTCAAACGACAAATGACAGATTAAAAAGTTACACAGTGAGTTTTTTTCCCCCCCCCAGTTCAGCACAAATCATCTTGCCCAATTCCAAAAAATACCTTTTGTTGCTCCATCATCCCCTGTCCCCTTCACCCTGCAAATGGAACATGCATTGCTAAGAAAAGAGACCACATCAAACACTTTAAAATATTACAATCATTCAAAATCTTAGCTAGCACTGTAGATAGTGAAATATGGGCAAAACATTTAAAGTGTGTGTTTTTTTAAAAGGCAGCTTTTCATGACAACTGCACATGACGAGTTTTCAACATCTGAAGTTCTCAAAGATAAGCATTGTATGTCAGATTCTACTACCCAATTTCCCAGACTTCACTACCTCAATTTCAGAAGTTTCTTTTAAATCAGGACTGACAGAAGCACATGAGTGTGAAAAAAAATATCATAAATTTTTAGGAAATGAAATAAAAATTCACTCCCCTTGTTGAACCAAACACCCTAGGATTAAACACTAAACAAAACTATTTTAAGCTTTGCATTTGCAAGAATGAAACATTCCATATTGCTGAAAAACACCTCTTAAAATTTACTTAAATGTTTAACATCTTCCTTATCTCTATATCCCTTCCTAATGTGTTTGATTTTACAGAACTCCCATTTATATACAGCATAGTAGTTAGTAAAGGAAATATAATTTTTATATTAAGGCTGTTGACTGACTGCCTTCTCATGGCTCTCAGACAAGTGTACAAACACAAAGATACTGCTTTATTTTTCAGGGTTGCACTGAAGTGCCTTTTTTCTTTTTGCCTTTTTTTTTTTTTACTGGGAATAATAAATTACTTTCTATTCCACAGGAAGCAAACCAAAACCCATGTTACTCTGTTCAATAGTTTGGAAGCTGCAGCTCAACCTTCGGTGGAAAAGGAGAGAGACAAGCTGGGGGGGGAAGAAACCTCGAGAGTTTTAAAACGATTATATTTTTAGGTTTATGGTCTCATATTTCTCTAGGTCCTGAGAGCAAATGAATTGTGTTGGTCTAGAAATTCTCTAGAGGTCCCTTTTAATGTGTATTATTCTATAATCTGCAATCATATCTAAATACAGCCATTCTTCCTTATTTTATGCTATTTCTTGTAGAGATGTTTCTGGGCTCTTTTTCAAATCCAAAAACTTCCACTACCTTTGGGAATGTCATACCCACACAGTTAAGCAGGAATTGATGTTTGCCCTAAACCCATTCTTTCCACTTCAATTGCAATACACTGGAAATAAACACTAGGAAAAGATTTGTACTCAAACGAATTTTATTAGTTGAAATAGGTTATAAGTGAGACATATGATAAAGAATAGAAACCATAAGCCAGGAATCCTTTGTATATAGTACAAACGGAAGGGTATCATTCTCCCAGTGCAGTGCATGTTTCAAAAAAAAAAAAAAAAAAAAAAAAAAAGATGCAAGCAAAACAGAATACTAAAGAATACTAAACAGCGTGCAATGCTTTAAGAGGCTACAAACTCTACTTGACAAAAAATTCACAGAGTATAGTGAGGCATCCAGAATTTATTATTTTTAATCTTGTTAGGTCTAAAGGACAATCCAAACATTTCAGAAGCATTTCAAATGCTGGCAACACTTTGGATATTTTCTTGTATTTCAGAGCCAGATCCTACAGTATCAGTTCCAGAGAGGTTTACTGTCTGCAGTCCACTTTGGTCTCCTCTTGTGCTATCACTTGGAATTGCCATTTCATTTGCTCTAGGGATGCATTTCTTCAAGGAACAATTCTAGCTTTTTTCACCAGAAGGACCACTGGATATTCCACTACCGTTACTATTACCATGTACACTGGAATCAGGTGAATGCAGACTGGTAACCAATTGTCTTCCTGAGTGATGATGTTCTTTTGCCTGTTCATGTTGTTTGACTCTCCTCTCAGATGATGTTGGAGTGCTGTGTCGAGGCTTATCCTCTTTATTTTGGTTCATAGTTTGAGCTTCATTTTCATTCCATGAGGCTGGCTGATACTGCTGCCCAGCAAGAGGAAGCTCTTGCATTTCTCTAAGAGGAGAGAAGGCATCATCCACAACCATCTGGGATTGGAACATACCAGGAAGAGAAACTTCGATGTCTCCAGCTCTGTTCTGAAATAAAGAGATTCCAGTGAAGATACTAATGCAACCAGAGGGGGGAAAAAAAAAAAACAAAACCACCAAAAAACCAACCAAACCAACAGTATTGCAACTGCCATATACTAAAACCCACATAGCAAGACAGTTCTTTACATAATGCATAAAAGATACAGAGGTAATAACAATCACACAACCTTTCTGACCTTTCAAAGTAAGCAAGTTACAGAAGTTTGCTAGGGTGAAAATGATGCAGAGTAGGCACATTACAGTTTCACATCTAGCTTGAACTTTACACTGCAAAAGTGTGTCTGTTAAACTCTGCTAAGCAGCCAAAGCCTAGTCATGCCAATCATTCTGAAATACTTGCAATTCATTATGTTTACTGACAGTTCACAGTAGTGTTGTCTGAGTAGTCTTATCCTACAATACCCAGCTGCATCAAGAACCCAAACCAACCAGTACTAGGAGATACATATGAGTGCAGTGTGTTGAAGCGTTCTTGTAATCATCCTTTGCCACGCATACTTAAACCACTTTAGCTCAGGCTCCTGAGTGTAGCTGAATTTGAAAAGCGATTATTCAAACAACCTGCACAAACAAGTCAGTGACCCAGTGCAGAGGAGTCCATCAGCAACAAGTGCTGTGGCAAGCTGAAGTATAACAGGTGTCAAAGAAGCTACAAGGAGAATGGATCCAGTACTCCAAATAATTTTAGCAGACTGGAAATTGCATTCACACCATTAAAAAGAGCCCCAACACTTTTTACCATCGTGTTTTAGAAGCTCATGGTGTTCTTGAGGAATTTGGAACATTTAACAAGGAAGACATTGGGTATAAGAAACATACTAGAATGCAGAATCAGAGTTTTATCCAACTTGAACAAGGTCATAGGCTGTCAGTATCCTGCATTTTAATTACCTTAAACTTAAGCCTTCTCTTTTTGTTTGTCTGGTTTTGGTTTTTACAGACACTTTAGTATCTCCCTTGAAAACTCCAGGTTTTCTTTTTATTGACTTCAGCCTAGAAACTAAACCCCCATGTTGTTTGTATTGCAAATCTGCAGTTGCCTGAAATTCATGGTGTGGCACACGCAGCAATCTAAAAGGACTTCACATAGACATTGCCGTGACTTAAAAGAAAATTTGTACTTTTCAACAGGCATATTGTACTACCATCTACAATCAGAACAGGTTTTTTAAAAGCACGATACATCATTATTAAATGTTTCTAGAAAGCCTAGTCATGGTAATTCCCATTTTTAATGGATGCATACCACCATTAGAACTACATATTTCAGAATAAAAACCAACATAATTACCACCAACACTTGCTCTAGTAAATTACAAAAATACTATGTTTTAGTGGTAAGGCTTGAAAAGTTTATACTCATCACCAAACTGTTATGATCTGTATAAAATACATCTGCTGCAAAGGACTACAATAATAACTTCATGGATCATTTGGTAATCATTACTTGCAGTCTAAGGAGGGTAACAGCTGAAAACTACATTAAATAATATCAAATACGTTGCCACTAGCATTCCACCTATAGACTTACTTTGCTATTCTGGGTATGCTCTTGTCTTTCCTCTTCAAAAGACTTCTCCTTTAGCACGCCAGTAGGCATACTAAGAGCAGAATTCATTTGTGGGTGTCCCAAAAGACCAAAATCTGATTTGTCTATCCCAGCTAATGCAGCAAGTTGTCCAAGTCTGTAAAATCAAGTTTAATAGAAAATTACACAAAAAATTCTGACCCTGTGAAAGACCTAAACATTCAAAACCAGAAGAAGAAACAGACTCTGTCTGAAGCCTTGGAGACAGTTGTTCCATTATGCCCCAATAATAAAGATGAAAACAAGTAGCTAAAGGTAGCTGTTCTATCCTGAAGAGGGTAGATATAGATTATACGCAAGGAAGAAGTTCTTCACTATGAGGGTGGTGAGACACTGCACCGTGTTTCCCAGGGAACTTGTGGACGCTCCGTCACTGGAGTGGTTCAAGGCCAGGTTGGATCAGATGCAATCTGGCCTAGTGGGAGGTGTCCCTGCCCATGGGCAGGGAGACTCTAGCTAAATGATCTTTAAGGTTCCTTCCAATCCAAACCATTCTACGATTCTATGATTTTCCTATCTTTGTGCAAATTAGCCTGCAGGTTCAAAACTGCCAGGACTTTCCTCAGTGTTTTGAGGCTAAGAATGAAGTTCTCTCTCTTAGCATTGATCTCACAGCAGGACGCTGGCAAGCAGATTCCCTGTCAGGCAGAACAAAGACTAAAACTCTGTCATTCAGTCAGAAGACTGGTGCACATCTCCTAGACTAGCATGATCTCTAGCAGCCAAATCCAATTGCATGCTTCACAGAATCAGTCATGCTGTTTCACCTGCCAGCTTACAAGTTGGCCACACCTACAACTTTGGTGTTTTAAGGCTCTATAAGAAGGGGGAAGTTGCAGCCACTAATTGATAGAACAGCATATTATATAGAGAAGCTTATTGAGAAGAGCAGTCTTTGTCACTGGGATTCAGTAACTCTCAGAGCAGCTCCCTATTACCATAAATAGACAAAGTCCCTATCTGATTTTTATGTAGCAAAAATGTGTTTTTCCAAGCACTTTTTGGAAAAAAAGTTTGAAATGAATTCTAAAAGTAATAACAACTCTACGAATTGATTGGCACAAGATTACAACCCAGCAGCCTCAGGGTGAGCTTCACATTAAGCTATATTAATACAGTTTGGAGGTGGATGGAAGCAGGAGGCATGAAGGGCAAATAAACCTTTTGCCATTTTCTCTGAACAAGCAAAGTAGACTACAGTTTACCTTCATACAATTCTTTCATTCTCCTGGATGAGATTGCCACGGTTGGCTACATAAGCTTTCTAAGCTAGGTTTGAGAACTTGAGCTGAAACTCTGACAAATGGGCAGGATGAACTATCCTATGGGAAATTGCAGGTACAGTGGGAGAGTCTTAAGACAAACTCTGATCAGTATTCTCTAAAATATTTCAAGTAATAATAAAGAATGCAGAATTTAAGTACAGAGGCCAGATTCATCCACCTAGATTTCTGTACTTCAGTTAATACAAAGGGACGCAAGGCAACAGGACACTTTCTAAAGCCAGTTCAGCTGCATTTTGAGCCTTTTGTATCACAGGAATGCTAAGAGCCACAGATGACCCAACAAAGACTTGAAAATGTCCCTTCTCTTTTGGAATAGGCTTCCTGAAAATCTTTCCCAACTGATATAGGAATTCAGCTGGACAGTGCTTGGATCATGCTTTTGCTGCTGAGAAACTACTGAACAATATGTACATAGTTAAATTTTCTCCCCTTGATTTTTGTGAGTACAGTCCTAGCGATCTGGTGTGGAGAAGGCATCATACTTCATTGGGAAGACAGTTTTGGAAAGATCTCAGCAGTTAACAGGAAGTTTAAGTGATAACCTACCCGGCATCCTTAAGGAGGTCTAAAAAAGCATGAAACTTTTTGAAGGAGTTCTCAATGCTGCCTAGAACACTTTCATCTTCCAAAATCCTGTTGGTTGCTGACTGTGCATGAAGAGACTCAGATAGGGAGACATTTAGATGCCTTAATCTTGCATTTTCATCTGCCAGCTACATAAAAAGAAAGGAAAAAAGTAAAAAAAAGTTTCTATCATTGCCACTTAAAAAAAAACCACAACACACAAAATACCCAAACCTACTTTTGCAAGCCTACAGAGCAGTATCACAAACAGAAAGACCCAAAATAACTGATATAGAACTTCCTATACCAGAAATATTCAGGCCACTGTTACATGGAGCTCTGTGGGGGTCTGTTTATCCCGTTGGAATTCTGTGCTACTACAGTGAAACTGCCACAGGCCCTTCAAACTGCTGCCCCAGCACCACCTTCAGCACGTGCAGCATGTTGCAGAGCAAGTGCAAAGAAAAAAAAAATAGCTTTCACATCATCCTCTTTTGCATGAATTATATGACACATCAGCAGGCAAAAAAATTTCACTAGTAAAAAATCTTAATGGAGGCCCATGCTCTCCTTACATTGACCTTTCTGTATCAGATTGATACACCCAATGTATCACACTGGACATTAATATACCAAAGTTTTATGACAATTGTAGGATATACAGGAGTTTGTATTGGAGGGAAACATTAACTCAAGCACTCATTTGAGATTACAGCTATGCAATCGCTGCTATCACAGGCTTTCCTGTGATAGCTTTTTCTTCTTTCATCTTTCATGAGAGGACAAAAAATAGGAGATCTGTGTAGTACACTGTGTCTATCAAGCTAGCAGCAAAATGATGAATTTGAGAGATTACTGCTACTAAGCATCTTGGCCCAGAAGAAGGAATAAATTATGTCCAAAGCAGTCTAGCACGACAGAGAAAGATTTCTCACAGTGGCTGTTTAGCCTAAAGAGTGTGTAAGTATTCCAACAACATTTATCCAGCACAGCCCACTGCTGCACATTGCCTTACAGAAGGACAGGGATGGCCACTTTGGATGAGTACGATGAACCCTGTAGAATGCAGAGTCCTTTGTGGATATCTGCTCCCTGTACTGTGAGTTACCACTTGTTCCTCAAGTTCCAAAGGGTGCCACCACCACCATTCCACTCCAGATCACATCTGCTAACCAAATCAATTTGTTTACACTATCTTACACTCAACTCCATTACAGGAAATTCTGCTTATTGATGCAAAAGAATAATATTTTTATGTCACCTACCACAGATGGGAGGAGACAGACCTTGCAATTTAACTGTGGCAAGTTGGGAGTTTAATTCTGTCATAATATGCAGCAACTGACAGCTGTGGCCAAGTTGCTATGGAGAAACCCAACATTTTTATTGCCTGCAGAAACAACACTTAGAAATCAAATGGGCAATCCAAATTAAACAACATTTGCAATAAACAGCTTTTCAGTACGAGTTATGATAAGAAAGTAGGAGACTTCAGGGAACTATCTATCTGCTTCAAACTGCAAACAGATTTAATCACTCTCTCAAGAAATGATCTGGGGCATCCCGAGTTTTAAGTAATACACCAAATGAATGAAACACATTGAAAGAGCAGCTTGACCTGGAGTTCAAGGCTCTGGAATAGCATCAGGAGAACAAACACACATTACCAAACACAGATTTCATCATTGCCCTTAGGCTAGTAAATGATCCATATGACTTTGAACCAAAACTCTGGAAGCTACATTATTAGAGGTCATTGATAATTACTCCTAATGAAGCAAGAGGGTAGTTTGATTGGTTCCCTCTTTAAAAGTTAAGACGATTAACAGTTAAATATCATTACCTCCATTATCCGTTTCTCAGCCTTTACTCTGGTTCTTTGTTCTTCTTTTAATTTTTCCATGCATTCTTCCAGCTTCAGCTATCAAAGCACAGATAAACTACGATGAACTTTATTTCAAAACATCAGCTGAACATGCAATACTATAGAAAACCTCAATATGTCAAATTAATACGTAGCACACAGCATTCCAAGAAGTAGCTCATCTTCTACAAAAACACGAGAGGTCTACCAATACATAAATCTAGGATGCAGTAAATTAATAAAGGAAAGCAGAAATTAGCATGATTTCACTTCACAGATTTGCAATATAGCAATAAATACCTCAAGATTACAGCACAAGAATCTTGGGCCTGTGACATTACCATCAAGAATATAAGTTCTCCTCTTTTGCCTTTTCAAACCTCATTTCTAACGAAATACATCTACCTCATCAAAAGTTCAAACTGGGCTTTAAAAAAAACCCTTAGTGGCCATAGACTTAGATTTTCAGAATGTATTCTTCAATAGGAATTTTTGTTCTGGCATTCCTTAACACAGTCTTCTGGTTCCAAAGGTGAAAACTTTTAAAATTATCAAGCTGCTCTGTTTTTCAGAGGGTAACCTCTATGAACTAACGGTACCCAAAGCTTCTTCACTTCTCTGTAAACCCCCAATACAGGCACATATGTGTAACTTGAGAGACTGCTTCTGGTACACATCCTGTCAATCAGTTCTACATAGGAGCAAAGATCCAAGTAGTACTGAAATCCCTTCTTTACTATCAAAAGCTTGCTCAAAAGCATACTACTGCACATTAGACAAGCAATTAACTGAGAAAACTGGTTTGCAACAGCACACCTAGTAAAAAAAAAAAAAAATCTTTCTGCAATACAAAGAGGTCCTCACAAGTCTTGTAGGCAGCAAGGGACTTCTACATCTGATTCAAGGATGCAGGCTCTAAAATATTCCAGATACAGCACTTCCATGCCTCAAAGATTATGGGTCTGTCACTACCATCCAGTGAAGTTCACTCCTAAAATCCCTAGACCAGCATCAAGCAAGCTAACCCTGTGACTACAAAGCTAGTCTTTGTAGTCTAACAATTCTTTATCATCTTAACATCTTATTGTATATCTTTAGCATCTGAACACACAAGAAAGACTCTCAGAGGTTAGAAGGTGTAGGAAAACCACAGTTTAAAGACAGTATTTGCAAAGAGATTTAACAGCCTCTAACCACCACAATGTAACAGAATTGCCTCCAGGCACAGGATGAAGTGGAAATCTCTAAGGAGAACCCTCAAAAAATACCCCAATCCTACTGCCATCTACCTCAGAAGATGTGGAAATAACACAACCCAGAAATCCTTTTACAGCTACAGGAGCACGGCACAGCAAGTTGTGACCATAATGTTCCACATTCACAGCTTGACATGTCAGCTGGAATGCTGTACTGTGGCTTTAAAGGTCAGTCATAGGGATCACAGACTTTAAGAACTCTTACAGTTCCATTTATAGTGTATACACACATATGTATATATGTATTTTAAAGTTTCCAGGGTTCAGACTTTTCTGGCAAGCAACTTCCACTTCAGAAACCTTAGTTCTATAGTATTTTTGTTGTGGACAGATTTTAGACAAGTCTAATGGTGACAGCACTGACTTTTTTCCTCAGATTGCTGGTTTGGATTGCCAAGATTTTTTTTAAACAGAAATTGGGAGGGTTTGTAGTTTTATTTAAACTTGATTTATCACACTGTGGATGTACACAACATTTCATGGATATGGGGAGACTTCACAAATAAAAAGACAAACACTGCAGCTACATCTCACAAGCAGTACCAGAAGAACACATCTGAAGATGCCTTGCACCTGTGCAAACATGCCTGTCACTATTAATTACAAGTATTGTATGCTTTATTCTTTCATTTGCTTTTGAGAAATTCACAAGCTTACACACCCTCTAGTTTTTGTGCAGAAAAAAAATTATAATAAAGAGAGAGCTAAATAGACATCCAAGCTACAAGCACTGTAGTCCAGAAAGGCAGCACTGACAGCCTTTAAGATGAATAGCAAATACACCTGTAGCCTGTAGAAATATATGCAGTATGATGACTCGACACTAGACAGAGGTATAAAAATGAAGTTTAAAAACTAAAAATATTAGAAAGCCTGTAGTAACTCATTAACTGTGTTCTTCTACTTGACCACATTGTTGCTCTTAGTTTTAAAAAAGAGTTATAGTGCAATTTCTACTTCTATATAATTCATGTGGTAGTAATGTGTAGGAAGAGCTACCCTGCTAACTATATAAAGGGTGAAGTTCACCATTCATCAGATAATATTTCAAAATCTGGGCGAGATTTTGAAATATTATCTCTCAGCTACAGTCTTCAGAGGAAATTCTGACATTACATATTCCTTCCAGCAAAAATATTTAGCAGTTCTAATTTTACATTTAAGCAGAAAATAAGCTTTTCATTAGCCAAGGGAATTAAAAAAAAAAAAAAAACACGCATGCACAACTAGTATCATTTCACTAAGCAACACACAAAGTCACTTTTTGAGCAGAAGGATACAGAGTTGTTCTCTAGGACTTGCATACAAAGTGAAAGTCTGGTCATTTAATCATATCAAGGGACATCCAAGGAGTTTGTCTGGCACAGTGGCAGCTTAAAGATTTCCCAGCTCTTACTCTTTATTCCCACACTACAATCCCATTATGAGAAATAATTGAGACCCAAACTAAGGT